GGGGGGGGTCAGTTGTGGAAGAAGGCGTTGAGCTCCTCGTACATGGGGCCCCGCTCGTGCGGGAGGTGCATGTCGTAGGGGAAGATGTTCTCGGAGTGGACCCCCCCGCGCATCCCCGCCGACCCGAAGACCAGGTTGTGAGCGGCGGGGCGGGAGCCGGGCAGCGCCGAGTAGTGCATAGAGTAGTGGTAGCTTTTCTCGTGGTCGGGGGATGAAGAGTCCTGCTTGAGGGAGAAGTTGCCGTTGATGCAGAGCGGGGGGCTGAGCCCCCCGTCGTACTCCGAGCTGTTGTAGTCGGGGGAGGTGTTGCCGTAGAGGCTCTCGTAGGCGGAGGCGCAGTAGCCGTGTGTCCTCAGCCCGTGCGGCCCGGGGCCGGCGGCGGGCGGGCAGGGCGCCGCGGCCAGCCGCGAGCAAGGGTAGGGGTAGGGGTGCACGGCGAAGGAGGCGGCGTTGGGGCCGTGGAACCGACCCCCCTCCTGGCCCTGCTCCGTCAGGAAGTTGCGGGAGTTGAGCTGGAGGCAGCCGGCCACCAGGTTGGTGGTGGGCTGGGACAGCCCCTTGCACAGAGTCTGCACGTAGGAGACCAGGTCGGGCCGCTTGCCCGAGCGCAGGATCTCGGAGAGAGCCCAGATGTAGTTCTTGGCCAAGCGGAGGGTCTCGATTTTGGAGAGTTTTTGGGTTTTGGAGTAGCAGGGAACCACCTTGCGCAGGTTGTCCAGGGCCGCGTTCAGGTCGTGCATCCGGTTCCTCTCCCGGGCGTTCGCCTTCTGCCGCCGCAGCTTGGACCGCTCCAGCCGCGCCTTCGTCATCTTCCTCTTCTTGGGGCCGCGCTTCTTGGGCCGCTCGCCCTCCGCCTCCTCCAGGCCTTCCTCCTCCTCCTCCTCCTCCTCCTCGTCCCCTCCTAGCTCCCCTTCCTCCTTGCTCTCTCCCAGCGAACCCTCGGGCGGCTCCTCGGGGAGGGCGCAGCCCTTCCCCGCCCGCTCCTCCTTCTCGCTCCGGGCATCCTCCTCGCACTCCTCGGCCCAACCGGGGAATTTCGGGACTTCGGGGACCAGGCTGGGCTCGCTGAAAAGTCGCGTCAACATGGTGGCTGCAGCGGGGGGCAAAGAGCCAGGCGTTACCGGCGGCCCCGCCGCCCGCCCCCCCTCCCCGCCCCGCTCCCACCCGCCGGGACCGGCGAAAACGAATTGGGCTCGGGGCCGCCCTCCGCTGCCCCCCGGCCCGGCTGTCCGACCCCGGGGCCACCGGGGCTCTCTCGGGGTGCGGCGATTCCGCCCCAGCCCGACACCCCCCCAGCCCCACCGCCGGGGTCCCCGCGGCCGCCGCCCGCGCCCTCTCCCGCTCCTCTGCACCACCCCCCGCGCCCCCCCAGCTCCCGGCCCGCCCGATACCCCCCCCCACGGTGCCCCGAGGGCCGGGCCCGGTGTCGCCGGTCCCTCTTTGACGCCTCCAACTTTTCCCTGCCGCGGGCGCTGAACGGCCCCGGTCGCGGCTCCGCCACCGCCTTCCCGGGGCCGGGGGAGTCAAGGCGAGACCACCGCCCCCCCCCGCATCCCCAGGTACCCCCCGTACCCCCTCCGGCCCGGTCAGCCGCGCCCGGCTTCTCCTCCCCGCCCCGGGGCTCCCCGCTGCCGCCGGAGCGCGGCCCGTAAAATGCGGCGGCACCAACCGGGGGGCGGCGGGGGCCGGTGGGGGCGGCCGGGGCCCCCCCGGGGGGCGCGGGGGCCGCGGGCGGCGGCGCTGCCGGGGGCGCCCCCGGGGCCGGGCGGTGCGGCGGGGCCGGGGCGGGGGGCACCGCCCGGGGCGAGGGCCGGGGGCGCCGCGGGGGAGCGGGGGGGCGGCTCCGCCAGGTCGGGCCCCCCCGGGGCGGCGGCGCGGCGGCTCCGCGCTGATTTCGTTGATGCCGCTCGGCCGCCGCTGCCCACTCCGTCCCACCGGGACCGCGGCGCCCCGGGCGTGCCCAGGCTGGGGGGGGGGACCGAGGCCGGCGAAACCCCAACAACCCCCCTTGGGGAGGGCTCCGGCGGGGAGAGAAAACCCCATCAGCGGGGCCCGCGGGGAGTGGGAGAACCGAGGGCCGGGGGAGAACGAAAGATGGGGGGAAAAAAGGGCGAGACGTGGCGGAGAAACAAAATCAACATGGAAGTTGCCTTTTCTCCATTCAAGTTTCCTCCGTTGCCCTCCCAACCCTCCACTTCTTACATAACTCACCTTCGGGCGGACCGCAGGAATTCTTATTTCATTGTTCCCAGCATCTTCTGGGAGCGGGACGCGGCTCCTTGAGGTGCTCCAGCCTCCTGCAGTCCTCTATCCAAAAGGAGGCGAGAGTGGCATCTCTACCCAGCAAAGGGGGTACCAGCTCTGCTGCCAGTGCCATATGGTTGGCACGTCATGCGCGAGAGCTATCACATGAGAGCTAATGATTGACATGCGCTTGCATTCAGGGAGATTTGTCTCTCTGGGGAAGGAGGACTCGCCATCTGTCACTCTGTACTCTAAAAAAAAAAAAAAAAAAAAAAAAAAAAAAAAAAAAAAAAAAAAAAAACCTCTTCCAAATCTCCAGCTCTGCCTACACGCTGCAAAATGGGACCCGGGCGAGATGCAGGCGATGGCGGGGCCGGGAGGAACAATGGAGCCAGCGGGAAAACCAACCATCCCGGCTGGGCCAAGCGTGGCGGGGACACAGGCGGGCGCTGGGGTGAGGGGGGAGATGCCACGGGGACCCTCGCTGGGAGCTGGCATCTGCGGCTCGCCGCAAAATGCCGCGGCGGCTCGCCCAGGTCCGTCCCCACCCTCCGCCAGCAGCCGAGCGGCGATGGCTGCGCTGGCGAGGGCCTGGCAAGGGCTGGGGGCTGTGGCCGGGCACGGCAGAGGTGGTGGCAGTGCCCAGTTTGGTCACACCGGTGCTGGCAGAGGGCTGCAGGTGTGGTATGGGCAGGGCTGGTGGCTGCAGGGCCGTGTGTCCCCGCGCAGGTGGCACGTGGACACGCTGGCACCCCCATGGCCACACAGCCACGCCAATGTCCCTTCAGCCCACGGCACGGCCCCACACAGCCTTCGGCACCCCCTGTGCACACACAAACCCTCACACACCTCCTTGCACACTCACAGCCTCCCCGATGCACACGGGGGCCGAGCCTCCATGGATGCCAGTCCCACGGTGCTGGTGGCCAAGGCCTGGTGGTGCCACGGTCCAGCCAATGAGGCCTTTGTCTGTCGGGCAACTCCTCACTGCACTGTCACCCTCTGGCCCCCAAATCTGTCCCCACTACAGTGTCTATGCACCCAGAAATCACGGCTGCCCTTCTGGTGGGCAGCAGCTGGGCCACGGAACTGAAATGGGCACACAGTGTCCCCAGAAGCCACTTCCCATCACCCGGTGCCCGGGGCTGCATCCATTGAGGCCCTGAATCTCCTCTGTCCCCACAAACCTGGGGGTCAGGACCTGCCTGGCATCAGGGGTGTGGCCAGGGCCTGGGTGCCACACACCAGCATGTGCCAGCCATACACACTAGGTGAGGGTGGCATGGCCATGACATGGACACGGTGACAGTGGTGGCTGTGGCTGTGCCCACACACAGACAAAGGGCTGGCCGTGCCCGGCCACCGGGGCTTTGCCAGGGCCTTCAGCAGCGCCCATTCCCCTGGTGCAGGTGCTGGGGCTGCCACGTAACACAGGAGCTCCACCGGTGGCGAGCATCCCCCCGGCATGGACCTTCCGACTGTCACTCAAGGCTGTGGCCGAGCAGATGGCACCTGGGCTGGAGCTGGCCCGCAGGGAGGCAGGGCCCACCCCATGCCACGCTGGGCACCGATTCCCGGGCATCTTCCTGGCACAACGCATCCCTTTCCCGCAGCACCGTTCAGCTCCCTCTGCTGCTGCCATCTTCGTTTTGCCGGTGGGTCACTGTGGGATCACTGTGCGCCAGGAGCCCACCCTCACCTGTGCCTGTGGCACATCAGAGCCAGCTCTGGTAAGTCGCCACTTTCCTGCCATCGGTGCCCAGGCCAGGGGACTCGCAGCCCTCGGGGGGTGGCCACACCCCAGGTGTCAGGGCAGTGAAGCCATCGGTGCCCCGGCTCCTGGCGCCGGACTTAAAGCCCATGGGGGACCAATGGCGCCCCTGATTCTGTCTGAGACCGAGAAGATGTCACAGAGTGAGAGGCCAAGCTGGCCCGTGTGGGGACAAGGATGGGGACAGGGATGAGCCACAAGCCCCTGGCCCAGTGTACCCATTTCAGCCTAATTAGCAGCCGGTGAGCGCGAGGGTGGGCGCCGGCGTGAGGCTCATCAGCATGCGCAGTGCTTGGAGGGAGAAGAAAGTGGAGACATGAAACGAGGAGAGGAGATGAAAGGGGAGCAGGGAGATGAAAACCCAAACCGCTGCCTCGTGGCCGGGCGGTGCTGACGGTCCTCGGCCGGATTGTGCCTGGACACGGCCCGCACAGAGGGCAGGAGTGGCACCCCGGTGTTGTCCCCATGCTGTCCCTTCCACCATGGCCGGTGATGGCAGAGGGCAGAGCGGGGCAGGGGCAGCCCCATCCTGGTGACTTTGGGAAGGGGCTTCACCCAGGGAGATGAGCAGGGTCCCGGCATCACAGCTCTGGGGCTGGATGAGCAGGATCCGTCCCACGGGAATTGGGGCTGTCCTGTGCAGCAAGGGCAGGTGAGGTTGAGGTGAACCCAGGACCAGGCACAGTTTGAGGAGGAGGGGAGGGCTGGGTGCTGCCTTTTTGGGTGTAGGGGCTGGAGGAAATGGCCCAGCCACCCCGGGGCTCTGCTCCCCATCCCACTGATGGTCCTCGTGTGTAGGGACCGGCTGTCCCAGCACTGCCACCTCTGGTCCCTGGCCACCTCCGCTATGTCTCTGGTGGCCTCGGTGCCAGGAAGGCACAGCGAGGAGTTTGGCTGAGGCATGAAGCTCTTTCCTCCTCCAAAATCCATCCTCCTCCCTCCAGCAGGAAGGCGATGGATGCAGACGGGGACCCTGCCTGCGGCAGCGATGGCTCCATCCCCGAGGTGCGTGCCAGGGGACGCGTGCCACGGGGAGGGACAGGGTGAGGGCAGGGAAGCAGGTCGGCACTGGCAGAGCCGGGTGCTGGGTGGTGCCGGGACGCGGCTGGGAGCCAGCTGGGCCCGTGGCGGCTCCAGGGGCCCCGCGTGGGGCGAGTTTGCCGGGGCTCAGGCGGCTGCCACAGCCCCCAGCGTGCGGCCAGGCCACGCTGGCCCTCCCCGGTGTGGCACGGGGGGTCATCCCAGCTGTCCCCTGTCGCCGGTGGGGTCCCTGCTGCCCCTCAGCGAGGCCGATCCATGCGGGGCCCGAGCGATGGATCCGGCTCCGGCATCTCCCCGCGAGCGGTGGCGGGGGGAGGCGGGGGCCGCTGCCAGATGGAGCCGGCTCTGCACTGCAATATTTCTGGGAGGTGAAGGCTGGGGAGAGATGGATGCGCTAACGTGCGGCGGAGCCACCGCCGGGAATGTCACTGAGGGGAGGAGAGCGGCGGGAGCAGGAGCTGAGCCCATCCCTGTCCCCATCCCTGTCCCCGTTCTTGTCCCCGCTGCCTTCGGGCCGGGTCCCTGGAGCAGCTCCAGCCTCGTAGGACCCATCCCTGGGCATCTTCCAGTCACCGGGTGAGCTGCGGGTGGGGGGCTCTGGGGGATGGGGAGGGGTGGGTGGTGCCCTGCCTGTCCCCGTGTCCCTAAAAGTCCCCGCAGTGGTGACTTCAGGGTCATGGGTGGGGAGCTTGGGAGGAGGAAGCTGATGGAGGAGGGAAACGGAGGGAAGAGAGAGGGGCCCTGGCTGAACTGGCATCAGGGGTTTTGGGGAACTCCCACATCTTCTGCCAGAGGAAGACGGGGAGATGCTGTGCCAGCCCTGGGGCTGTGCTGTGGCTGCTTCACCCACTGGATCCTGCTCCCAGGGCATCCGAATTCCTGCTCATATCCCCCAGGCTGTCCCCCCGGCCTGTCCCCCGCAGTCACACACAGGCCAGAGACTTGACAAGTGCTTTTTAAACCACACGTTGTTAATTAGGAAAATGACACCTGGGAATTGCCCAGTGGGAAACTGCCGGAGCCGCGGCTCCGTGTGGGGCTGGGGACAGATGATCACGGGATGGGGACACAGGGGACTTGTCGCCCCTGCCCCACGCTCCTTTGTCACCTGATGTGTTCCCCCCTGCTGGGGTCAGATGTCCTTTGGGGACAGTGGGGGGGTTGGGACAGGGAACCCCAACCCAGGCCTGGAGGGAGCTGCCACTGTGCCACCAGCAGAGCTGGCTGCTGCTGAGGCCACAAGGCCACCCTGATGATGTCACACAAGTCTATGACATCAGAACTGGTCCGTGACGTCACCAGACTGCAGGAGTGGCCACAGCAGCTTCTCCATGGCCACCATGGCGGGTCGGGGGGCACACGCTGGCAGTGCCACCAGTGCACGTGCAGCTGGGTGGGTGCTGCTGGCACAGCCCAGCCCCCCCGTGGCAGATGGCCACTGCCCAGGCCCGTTTTGGGGGGCTCCCGGGGCCTGGTGCTGGGGGGATGTGGCACATGGGGGTGGTGGGGGGTGCCTGTAGCTGTGCCCCTCCATCACCCCCTGTCTCACTCACCTGCCCCCCAAAACCAGGGACAGGCAGCCGGGGACCCTCCTGGAGACGCGCTGAGTGCATCAGGCCTCAGCCAGAGGGGTGGGCACAGGCGAGGGGGCACCTGGGTGGCACCAGGGACAAAGGGCAAGGGCTGGACTCGGAGTTGTGGGGCTGGGGGTGCCAAGAATCATCCTAGGCTGTCTCAGGTCACATCCCCCGGGAGCGGGTCCAGCTCTGCTGCTCGCAGAGCTCAGCTGCTCCCACCAGCCCCCCAGCACAGGGGACCCCAGTGTGGGGCACCCTGGGGTGCTCCCCCCATCCCCGGGCGCTCCAATCCCTGGGGACACCGGGGACCCTCCCTCCCGCCTCCTGGGTGCCTTCGGGGACCCCCCACCCCAAGGAGCAGCACCCCCACCCCAACCCCGAGGTGGGGGGACCCGGCAGGGAGTGGATTTGGGGAGATGGGGAGGGTCTCCATGGCGACAGAGCGCGATGACGACAGTCGCCATGGCGAGGCTGCGTGGCCCGGCCCGTTGCCATGGCGATGCGCCTGGCACAGCGAGTCGCCATGGAGATGGCCGAGGGATGGAGCGGTCCCCATGGCTTGGGGACCGGGGCTGGGATGGGATGGGGGAACGGGGGTGTCCCGGGGGCTGAGCCCCCCAACTCTGGGGCCTCGCCGGTGCCGCCGCCTGCCCGGTGCCGCCTCGTGCCCGGTGCCGCCGCCGCCGCCGCCCGGGATCATTTTCACGAGGCTTTTCCACTCCAGTTCACACTCCCATCTGACAGGCCCAACTTCTCATTTTCAGAGTAATCACTCCACTGCACTAATTGCACATGCAAATATGCAAATTCGTATTAATTAATTACTATACTAATTAGTTCTGTGGTATTTGCGAGTAATAAATCATTCGGAGGGAGCGGGAAGCTGGAGACCTGGCCCATTTACACTTCGCATAAAAATTTAATAGGCGCTCCGGCTGATCCGGGACAGCCGCGCCACCGCGCTTAAAGGCACAGAGCTGGCCTGGCACGGCGTGGGGGGCACCGGCCCCCCCAGCCCGGCCACAGTGAGGGGTTCAGGGCGTGCAGAGTGACAAAAACTGGGGAAAAGCGCCAGGGAGGAGGGATTGGGGTGGTTTAGGGATGTGTGTTTTGAGGGGGGTGATGGACGTGGTGGTTGTGGTGGTTTCCTCATGGGGAAACTGAGGCAGGGAGGGAAGGTTGGGGGTCCCCACTGCTGCACCACAGCGGGGGAGGGGGGGTGTCTCCCCTCACCTGGTGGTGTCAGGACCCTCCTGGCACCCAAGGATGGGGGTACCCGTGGGGGTCACCCTGCTCGGCAGCTGGGCTGGCTCTCACTGCCCACCACTGCTACACTGCCACGGTGACTACACTAGAATGGTGACCACGCCAGCACTGCCACCGTGACTACACTAGAATGGTGACCACGCCAGCACTGCCACCGTGACCATGCCAGCATCATGACTACAACCACACTGGCCCAGTGACCCACATGCCACCACATGCCAGCATGGTGACCACGCTGTGACCGTGACCACATTGGCACCATGACCGGGCTGGCACTGCCACCACGCCAGCGCTGTGACCATGCCAGCACAGTGACCATGCTGTCAGGGTGACCACATTGGCACCGCCACCACCAGGCTGGCACTGCCACCACCGCCACCACGCCGGCACTGCGCTCGCGCCAGCCCCGCGCAGCCGCTCCCCGCTGCCACCTTGGGGGATTTTGCGAGCCTTTAATTGTCGTAAGCACAGATTAATTAAGCAGCGATAAACACAAACCCATGCATTATTGATGAATAAGGGTGAGTTCAGGTTGGTGCGATCGGTGTAATTAAATATAAACCTCAAGCTGCCCATTGTTAACGGACAAATTACATTACTATTGTGACACGTGTCGGGGCGCCGCGGCCGGCAAGGGGCTCACGCCCTTGCACCTCCACCCACAGCCTCCAGAGAGGGGATGTGGGGCAGGAATGGGGACCCCCCTGCTCCAGGGCCAGGCTTTTTTCCATCCTGGATCCGTGTGCAACGAGGATGGTGCTCCACAGGCCCAGGGACACATCAGCAGCCCACGGATCTGTGGGGACAGCAGGAGAGATGGGATGACCCCACACGGCCCCACTGGGGTGGATGGCGCGCACACGAACACACACATGGATGCACACGCATGAACATCCCTGGCACACACGTGCAGATGTGCACAGCCCTGGCACACACACGAACACACACGTGCCCGTCCCTGGCGCACACACGCACATCCACACACCCCCAGACTCCTCCCTCCTTGTTCCCTCCTCCCCTACCCAAACACCCCCCTGGCAGCAGGGAACCCCCGCCCCCACCGTGTCCCCGCATCCCCGACCCCCCCTGCATGACCACAGCCCCCCCGTGGGCACCACACTATCCCCTCCGTCCCTCTGGGATCCCCCCGAGCCAGGCACCGTGGCCGTGTCCTCTCCCCGCAGGCACCGGGTTCTCCCCGTTGAGTCCCCGGGGACACCCCCACACCCCCACGGGGACAAGTGACAATGACCCCGGGGGGCTGCGGGCGAGTGGCGAGCCCGGCTGTGCCCTCCCGGCCCCCCTTGCCCGGCGCGGGGTGGGGGTGCCAGCTGGAAGCTATTTATTAACCAGTCATGGTTAAATTGGTTTATAAATTAACAGATGTTTTAACTTTATTCTTTCTTCTGGGAATGGAGGCAGCAAACTGGTCTGTGCTGGCGGCCGGGACCCCCCCCCGCGGGGGGTCAGCGATGGGCTGGGGGGAGCGGGGCTGGGAGCCCCCCCTTTAGCCCACCCTGGCAGGGCTCCGTGGGGGCACCAGGATGAGTTTTGGGGTCCCACCTCCGCAGGGAAGGGGGCAGGTGGGGCTTCAGGCTGTAGCGGTCACGTGCTACAGGTGGGTAAACTGAGGCACGTGATGTCCCCCCCTTCACCCCTTCCCTCCTGGGACCCCCCCAGACTTGCGCCCCCCCCCCCCCCCCCCCCCCCCCCCCCCCCCCCCCCCCCCCCCCCCCCCCCCCCCATTCCCCCTTTATCCTCCCCGTATTCCCCACAAAATTTCCCCCTCTGAGGTTTTACCTGTTCAGCTCCTCCTGGGCCAGGCACACCCTGGCTCTGTGTGCATGAAACCCCCAAAACAGCACAGCCCCTGCTTGGGGGGGCGTGCCCACCCTGGGGGTGTTGCCCCAGGACCCCTCAGTGCCCCCAGCCCCCGATCCCACCCCGTGGAGTGGGTGCGAGGCTTGGCGTGGGCCAGTGGCCGGTGGCTGCCAACCAGGACGGCTCCAGCCGCGGCTCCTCTCCGGCCACCCTGTGCCAAAGCCCTTGAGTCGCTGCCCGGCCCAGGCGGCCGTGCCAGCCCCGGGTGGCCGTGCCAGCCTGGCCATGCCAGTGTCGGGAATGGCATCTTCCACCGCGTGCCGCGGCGCCGCCGGGCACACGGGGCTGGTGTGGGCACCGATGGCACCAGGAACGGGCACAGCCCGCGAGGATGAAGCCCCCTGCCCTCCCTGTTGGGGGTTCAGGGGTGTGACTCCTCCTCGTCGTGCTGGGGACGAGGCCGTGCCTGTCCTGCCAGGTTTGGGGACACAACGCCCATCCTGCTGGGAATGCAGGGACACAGCTCCTCCTCATGCCAGCTCTGGAGTCCCCAAACTTTTCCGGAGATAGGAGGTTGCAGACCACCCCACATCATGGTAAAGACATGGGATTGGAGCCCCTCGATGGCGGTGGGTTATAGGGGTGCAGCCCCCCAGTCCTCCCAGCACTGTCAGTGCCTCAGTTTCCCCATCGCTGCCCCAGTGCTGCCCAGTGTCCCTGAGCAGGGCAGTGGGTGCCCCTTCCCCAGCCCCCCATGGACCCCCCATTTAGAGAGGGTCCCTCTCAGGCCCCCTTCCCCTCTGCAGCCCCCAGGGTGGTCGCTGGGGGTGTTCCCAGCAGCGAAAGAGTTAAGGCCCCTGCACAACTCCCCCCCCCACCGCCCCCTCGGGCTCCCACGCGTGCTCTGCTCCCACGCGTGTTCCCACTCCCGGCATCTCCTCTGCTCCCAGGGGAGCACCGGCCCCCACTCGCCGCCCCCGCTGCAGCTCCTGGGGGGCGGCTGCGCCCACGGGCGGCCTTGGGGTGCGGGGGGATCCCGGGGGTCTCAGCCCAGGGGGACTTGAGAGGGGACACACGGGAGCGGGGTGAGGGACACCCCCGCAGGGTCGGGCGGGGGGCCCGGAGGGGGATACCGGAACACCGGGGTGAGGGGCACTGAGGGGGGGTCCCGGCACCCCCGCCCCGACCCCCGCCCATCCTGTGGCCACGCCCCCACTCATTGCACAGGCTCCGCCCCCTGACACTCACCCTTGGATCGTGCGATTGTCCCGGTTTGTTTGTCCCCACGATGCGCTGTCCCCGCAAGGCCCTGTCCTTACTCTGTCCTGTCCCAGTAAGGTGCTGTCCCCGTGGCACCCTGTCCCCACAGTCCTGCGTCCCTGATGTCCCTCATCACCACAACACTGTCCCCGGCACACCCTGTCCCCACCACCCTGCATCCATGGGACACGTCGTCCTCACGGGACCCTGTCCCCACCATGCTCCATCCCCAGCACACCTTGTCCCCACCATGCTCCATCCCTGGAGCACTTCGTCCCCGTGGGACCCTGCTGGGCACGATGTTCCACCCCCAGCACACCGTGTCCCAGTGATGCTCCATCCCCAGCACACTCTGTCCCCGCGGTGCTCCATCCCCGTGGCACCCTGTCCCCGTGGCACCCTGTCCCCACGATGCTCCGTCCCTGGTGTTCCCCACCACCGCGACACTCTGTCCCCAGCTCTGTCCCCATCCTGTCCCCACGACGGTCCATCCCCACACCCTCTGCCCCCGTGACACCGGCTCCGCGGTGGGCACAGGCTCCAGCTCCTCGCCGGTGCCCGCTGGCGGGGGGCGAGCGCTTCTTCCCTCAACCTGCTGCTATTTTTACTCTCTCTGCGGGAGGATTCGCTGCTGCGCGGAGCTGCAGCCCCCGCGGCACCGCGGCACGGGCACGGGGACGGGCACGGCACGGGGACGGGCACGGCACGGGGTGCCCACGGTGCTGTCCCGGCGACGAGAGGGACCATGTGTGCCACACGTGTGCCTGGAAGGTGCCCCCGTGTTCCGGGCCCGGTGCGGCCCCCCCCCCTCCCCGTGCCACTCTGCAGGTGCCACCCGCGGGTGACGGTGCGTGGGCGCGGGCGCGGGCGGCGCGTGCAGATCCCGGGGGGCTGCGGGTGCTGGCGCTGCCGCAGCGCAGGGAGGGGAGGGGGCCCGGCCACCCCCTCACACGGCGTCTTCGTGGGTGGGAGAAGCGGGAACAGCAGCGGGATGGAGCCCGGGAACCTGTTGCCATAACGACTCCGGTCCCGGGATGGGGACGGTGCTCAGAGCCTGGCGCGGGGACACCCGACACAGGGCCAGCCCGGGCGCAGGGTGACCGAGGGACCCCTCACCTTGTCCCAAGATTTTGGTCTCCATGAAGACACTGGGCTCTGCTGGCACCTGTCCCTGATTTGTCCCCACCCGGCTGGTCACTGCGCTGTGCCACAGGAACAAGTTTGTCACTCAGAGCCAGGTTTTGTCACACAGAGCCAAGATTTGTCACGCAGATCCAAGATTTGTAGCCCAGAGCTGGACTTTGTCACCTAGAGCTGGGCTTTGCCACCCAGAGCCGAGATTTGCCACCCAGAGCCAAGATTTGTCACCCAGAGCCGGGCTGTGCCGTGTTTTGCCGAGCTTTGCCGCGTGGTGCCGGGCGGGCGGGAGGCTGGTCCATGGCTCGGTGCCACTCGGGTAAATATTTTGCTGGAGCGGTGGCTGCTGGCCCACGGCCACCCGCAGCCGTTGGAGCACCGGGAGATCCGGGGGACGGAGCCAGTTCCCAGCTCCCCCTTCCTCGTTCCTGCTCAGAGGCGACTTCCATCGACACCGCCCCGGGACATCCCAGGAGGGGACGAGCCACCCATCCGGCTGCTGGCGACCCCGCTGTCCCCCTGCATGGGGACCTCCTGGTTGTGCCCCTTCGGTGGGGCCGAGAGAGGTGCCCTCGATGTCCCCCGCTCCCTGCCTGGAATGTGCAGCTCTGGTGCCGAGCGTTGCCCTGAGGGATGAGCCCCCGCTTCCCCAGGGGGGAAATTTCGAGTCCCGTGAGATTTTCTATGGGGAAAATCGCCAAAAAGCTGGGGAAGAGCCAGGGCAGGTGGGCACAGCCCTGGGTGAAGACACAGCTCCCCCACCCCACTCCCGGCATCCCGGGGGCTGCAGCTGGGGGTGGCACACAGGTGATGGGATGTTTTGGGAGTCCATGTCCCCATGGATGTCCCCCGTACATATCCCCAGAGTGGTGTCCTTGTCCCTTGAGGCACAGAGTAGCCGGGTGGGGGGGATTTTGCCGCTGCCCACACGGGGGTGGGAGCTGCTGTCCCCCTGTCCCCTGCCCCCCCACCTCTGTGGAGACTCAGACATAAGGACAGGGACACACATGGAGCCACCCGTTCCTGTCCCATCCCAACCGGCCACTGCTGGTGGGGTTCCGCATGGCAGGGAAGGGGTTAAGGACCCCCCACAGGTTGGCTGAACCCCCTGGGGGGCTCCCCAAGGGCTCATTATCGCGGCCTCAGCCCCCCTGCCCGGGGAGGGGGGGATGAATAATTCAGCGCCTGGTAGGAAGACGTGTCCTCCCTCCCTCTCCTTCCTCCTCCTCCTCCTCCTCCTCACCGGCTCTGCCTTCCCCACCTCCCGCCACTCTCATTCCTCGCCGTACCGAGCCCCGGGTGCCACCGAACTCCGCTCGGTACCGGTGCCAGAGACCCCCGGGCTCCGGTGACTCCCGGCCAAGGCCATGGACCCCAAGGAGCGCAAGAAGATCCAGTTCTCCGTGCCGGCCCCCCCCAGCAACCTGGACCCCCGCGCCGTGGAGATGGTGAGGGGGGAGCGAGGAGAAGGGAGAGGGAAGCGGGGAGCGGGACCACCCCGGGGGTCCCTCGTCCCTCCCAGGGCAAAGCGCTGCCGGTGACCTCGGGGCAAGGAGGGACCCCCGGAATGACCGTGTGGGACCGGAGGGGGGACACCGGAGAGCCCCAGGGTGCTGGAGAGAGGCGGGGAAGAACGGGGACAGTGGGGACGGGATGGGGACAGAGTGGGATAGGAGGGACGGGATGGGACAAGGGGGATTGGAGGAGACGGGATGGACAGGATGGGATCGGAAAGCAGGACAAGGGGGATCGGAGGGGACAGAGGGGACAAGGCACGGGATGGGACAAGGGGGATTGGAGGGGACAGGAGGATCAGGATGGGACCGGCAGAACAGGACAAGGGGAATCGGAGGGGACAGAGGAGACAAGGCACAAGGCAGGGGATGGAAGGGACAGAGTGGACGAGGGGATGCACTGGGACAGATGGGATGGGACATGGGGGATGCGGTGGGAGGGGACAGAGGGAAGGAGAGGATGGATCCGGGGGGAGATCGGAAGGGACAGAGGAGACAGGAGGGAGAGGATGGGACAGGCAGAGCAGGACAAGGGGGACCGGAGTGGGCAGGACATGGGACGGGCAGACCGGACGGGACTGCGTAGGGGACACAGAAAGGGACAGGATGGGGGGAGAGACGGGGACAGGACGAGAGAGCTCCAAGGTCCCCGTGGAAGCTGCGGTCCCGCGCAGGGAGAGTTGTGCCAGAGGGACAGGGACAGGGACAGGACAGGGATGGCACAGGAGAGCAGGGAAGGGATGAGACAGGGAGAGCACAGGATGAGGACAGGGATGGGATGAAGGGGACAGGACACGCTGGGAGTCGGTGCAGCCACCCCCACCGGTTGTCCCTGATCCAAGGGGACGTCCCCAGCACACGCCGGACCCCAAGCCCCCCCGGGGGAGCTGGTGTGGGGCTCTCATGGGGCCGGGACACACTGGGGACACCCCGGGGACCCTGTGCCGGGTGGGTTCGCGGCCCTGCACCCACAAGCGCACACACGCTCACACACGTGCAGACACGTGTCCCTGGGGCGCAGGGCAGGGGACAGGGGACCCGGGGCGTCCCCAGCCGGTGACACCCCGCTGTGCCCCAGATCCGCCGGCGGAGGCCCACGCCGGCCATGCTCTTCCAGCTGTCCGAACACTCCTCCCCTGGTGAGCGGGGCAGGGGTGGGACACGGGGCAGGGGACATCTGGTCCAGGGACGGGAGGTGGTGGCAGGGATGGGATACGGTGTCTGTCATGCACGGTGTGGCATGTCCGGGATGGGACATGGTGGCAGGGAGGGGACGTAGTGGGGGTGGGATGTAGTGTCACCTGTGGAATGGGATGTCTGGAATGGGACACAGCGGCAGGGAGGGGACGGGGTGTCACATAAGGAAGGGGGTGGCAGGGAGGGGACGCGGGTCCCCGCGGGCAGGGTAACCCCTGGAGACGGGTCCGAGGGTGGGCAGGGCCCTGCCCGGCTCCTCTGGGTGCCCGTGTCCCGCTCACCCTTCTCTCCCTGGCGCCGCTGACACAGAGGACGAGAACCTGCCGTACCAGGTGAGTGGGCGCCGGGACCCCCGACACAGCCCCGCTCCCCCGTCCCATGTCCCCTGGGGGGTTATCGGGGCCCAGCCCCGGCGCCTGGAGCTTATCGGCTCCTTCCCAGCACGGGCACACGGCGCCAGCGCCGGGCACGGGGACGCGGGATGGGGACATGGAGCCGCGCCAGGCTGTAGAGCTCGGCCGCGGTGCAAACCAGCGCGTGACCGTCACGGGGTCACCCCCACAGTGTCCCCAGTACTGTGTCCCCAGCGCCACATCCCCATGGAGGGGTCCCTGTCGTGGGGTCCCAAACATAAGGTCTCCATAACAGAGTCACCCTCAGGGGTACCCCAAAACCACGTCCCCAAGGCAATGTCCTCATCGTAGGCACCGCAATTCCACGTCCTCATGGCAGTGTCCCCATAATGGGGGTCCTCAACACAGGATCCCCATGGCAGGGTCCCCATGGAGGGGTCCTCAGGACGGTGTCCCCAGTACCCCATCCCCAATTCAGGGTCCCAGCTCAGGCTCTCCATGGAAGGGTCCCATCATGGTGTCCCCAACACCACGTCCCTAGTTCCACATCCCCTTAGCAGGGTCCTCATTGCCGGGGAGGGATGGGTGTCATCCTTGGGTCCCCATCTCGAGACCCCCATCGCAGTCCCCCCCACCTCCCCCATGGGGACACCAGGCCCCCCAGTCCCGACCCCGCTCTCCCCGCAGCGCTCGTCGGGCGAGGGCTGCCTGCTCAAACCAAAGAGGACCAACCCGTGTGCCTACACCCCGCCCTCGCTCAAAGGTACCGCCCGCGGGGGGAACGGGGGCAATGGAGGGGCTGGGGGGACATCCCAGGGCTCCCAGTGCTCCCAGTGACACCGGCGTCTCCCCAGCGGTGCAGCGCATCGTGCAGTCCCACCTGGAGAGTGGCATGGGCGGGGGTGACAGCTCCGACGGGGAGCCCGATGACGGCTGCGACCCCGACAGTGCCCTCGAGTCTGGTAAGGGGACGGGGGGACGTGGGGATGGGGCTGCCAGAGCCCAGGGGATGCGGGGACATGGGGGACACAGGGACATGGGGAGGGGCATTCTGGAGCCCAAGGGATGTGGGGATGGGGCTGCTGGAATCTGGGGGACGGGGACATGGGCCTGCCAGAGCCAAGGGAACAAGGAGCCGTGGGGACACGGGGTCACAGACACAGGGATGCCAGAGCCCAGGGTATATGGGGACAGGATTGCTAGAGTTTGGGGGACACGGGGACGGGGGCCATCATCCTCTGTAGCCCTCGGGGACAGGGTTGGGACACGGACTGGCTGCTGCCGGTGCTGCCTGTCCTTTCTGCCGGTGCTTCTTGTCTTCGCTGCCCACTCGGCCGCCGGCGAGGCCACCACGTTCCCCCGCCGGGCCTTGTCCCCGTCCCCCGCGGGGCCGGGTGACGCCAGCCGGACCCCCGGCCGCTGCGTGACGCGGCACTGCCCGGCCCCGGCGGTGCCCCGGCGGTGCCCCGGTGCCGCGCGTGCCTCGCCGTGCCCCGGCCTCATCGACCCCCGCCCGGGCAGCCCCGGGGAGCCAGGGCAGAGCCGAGCGCAGCTACTTCCCCGCCGGGCTCAAGGCGCACAAGAGGAAAGGTAACGGGATGGGGACGGGGGGGGACAGGGATGGGGATGGGTGGCGACGGGGATGGTGGGAGGGTGGGGGATAGATGGGGATAGGGGTGACGGGGGCATGGGGATGGCCAGAATGTGGGGAGAGGAAAGGGGATGGCAGGAGGACAGACATAGTGGAGGTGACAGCAGAGAGACAGGGGTGGCAAGAGGATGGGGACACTGAGGGGACGGGGTGGTGGAGGAATGGGGATGCTGGGGGACAAGGATAAGGGGTGGTGGGAGGATTGGGACAGCAGGAGGATGGGGACACAGGGACAATATGGGGACGTGGCTGCTCGCTCGCCTGCTGCATCTCCTCGCCTGGGGATGCCGGGCGGGCACGAGGGCTTGAGGCCGTGTCCCCCCGTGCCTCAGCGGGGTCGCCTCACGCTGTGGGTCCCTGGGGCCACCGTGCTGGCCCCTACAGGCGGGCAGAAGGTGTCCTTCGCCGGCGGCATCGACGAGCGCGAGGAGGACCTGAAATCGCTGACGGTGTCAGAGATCCCCGAGGACCCCGAGGGAGCGGAGGGTGACGAGGAGGAGCCAGGGCAGGAGCAGGACGGTGGCACCGGGGGTACGTGGGGTGTCACCCCCCACCTGCTCTCCCTGCCGTCCTCAGTGCCACCACGCCCGGTGCTGACCCCCGTTTATGTCCCCAGAGCGGCGACACGTCGGCTTCGCCGAGGTGCCCTCGCGTCCCATCGGCACCGAGCGCCACTCGCCCACCTTCCCGCTGGGCACCAGTTAGCTGCCACCGGGCACCGGGCACCGGCCCCCCGGCCCCCCCCGGCCCCCGCAGCTTCGCCTGTGCCCCCCGGCTGCCCCCCGCCCGCTGCCTGCGCTTCGTCTGCCGTGTGCCATGTGCCGTGCGCCATGTGCCGTGTGCCGCGCCATGCTGGGCCACGCCGGGACACGTCGGGACCCCCGGCCACGGCCGCCCCCTCCCCACGGGCCTCGTGCCCCCCCGGCTGCCGGTGCAGGAGCCGGGGATGGGACCCCCGGGCGCTGGCGGGGTCTGGGCCTCCCCTGGCTGCTGCCCCCCGGCCCCAACCGAGCAGAGCCCCCCGCCCGCAATAAACGGCTGTACAGAGGCTGGAGCGTGTTTGGGGGGGGTTGCGGCCATCGGGGGCTGGGGTCTCTGATCCCCTTCGTGGGGGACGTCTGGCCCTTGCTGGGGGGGGGTGACAGACTGGACATGTGGGGCAGGGCATGGGGGGGCCTGGTGGTCTGTGGGCTGGAGCAGGACATGTGGGACAGAGCCAAGGGGCGCCCCATGAACAACCCCCTCTCCTACGGGGAATGGTCTGTCCTTCGCCCCACTGATTCCCCCCATATGGGAAATGGTGTCTCCCAGCCCCATGGATACTCCCCCACCATAGAATGGTCTCTTCCAACCCCCCACTGGAGAATGGTCTCTCCCAGACCCACGGGTACACCCCCAAGGGGGGAATGGTCTCTTCCTTGCTCACCCCATAGACAATCCCCCTCCACATGAGGAATGGTCTTGCCCTCACCCCACTGATTCCCCCCTTTGGAATGGTCTCTCCCAGCCCTGCTGATTCCACCTCCCACCAAGAATGGTCCTTCCCAGCTCCACTGATTCCCCGCATGAAAAATGGTCCCTCCCACTCATAGCGATTCCCCCTCCCATGGGTAACGGTCGTTCCCAGCCCCACTGACCACCCCCTCGCTGCGAATGGTCTATCCCAGCCCCCACCGATCCCCCCCTTCCCGCGGTGAATGGTCTGTCCCCGCTCCCCCCGCGGCCGGCCATGGTCGGTGCCGGCGCAGCCTCTCTCTGGAGTTTCGCTTCCGGGGTCAGAGGTGGCGGCGGGGCCGGAAGCGGCGCCCGGCGGGACCCGGACCCGGCACCGGGAGGTACCGGGGGGGACACGCGGGGGTGGCGGCATCTTGGGGGGCTCAGGTCCATTCCCAGCCCCGTTCCGGGTCTGGGACGGGCGGTGCCGGGCTGTGCGCGGACTCCGGTGGCTCAGCCTCGGTGGGGCCTCGGTTCCGCTTCGGTTCCCGGGAGCGCAGCCGCCGGTGGGAGCGGGACGGGACAGGGCTGTCACTGGGGGTCCTGGGCTCAGTACCGGACCGCACCACGGGCCCGTTGCCGGCTCCGGGAGGCCTCGGGCAGTCCGCCGGGCCCGGTCCCGTTATACGCCCTGGCCTCGCTTCACGCCCGGAGCCCCTCGGGCGGATCCCGGGGGTCCCGGCAGCGAGACCCCGGCACGGGGAGCCCCGAGCGCGGCCGAGGGGAGAGAATCGCTCCGGTCCGGGCTCCTTTCACCGGTGTCACCTCCGGGAGCCTGCGGGGATCGGGAATCCGGGACTGGGGGGGCTCCTTGGCGGGGGGCCCGAGGGGCTCCCGGGGGTGCCGGCACTGCCGTTCCCTCGATCCCGTGGCAAGCTCGGAGCTCTGGGATACCCGCAGGGGTCGGGGGTTGCAGGGTGGGGGTCCGGGACTGGTCTGTGCTGGGATCCCGGGCTCTTCCCGCTGCTCCAGGTGTTGGAAAAGCCCCCGGGCTTCATCCCCTGCCCGAGGAAGGACAACGCCGGGACCACCCTGGGGACCCTTTTGCTGGAGGGAGGGGGCAGCGTGAAGCCCCTCGCTGGCTGTGCCCCCAGGGTTCCAAATCCCGACCCAAACCCAGCCCCATATCCCAACCCCAATCCCGCTGGGAATGGTGTCTCCCGACCCCCGGGAGCGGGACCGGGGGGGTCACAGCACGAAACCCCCAAATGCTGGGCTGTGCCTCTCGCTGCCTTCGGGACACGGCGAGGAGAGCCCTAAGTTTCACCCCAGATCTTTTGGAAATGAGGGGAAATGCGGGATGCTGCAGGATCCCGCGGCTGGCTCCAGGACAAAGCTGCTTTTCCCGAGGCTCTCTGAGTGTCCCCCTCTCTCCCTGCAGTGCCAGGGGCTCCCGGGGGTCTCGGTGTCCCCACTTTGCACTGAACCGAGGCCTCTGCAGAGCTTTGCCAAAACCATTGGATCCTTCCCAGCTTTTTTTTTTTTTGGATGGAGGTTCAGTGTCTGGTTTAATATTGACCTTTTTGTTATTTCAAAGGGAAGCTCTGACACCCCTTAGTGCCCAGTGCAGCAGTCGGGGTCTCCATCCCTCTGGTTCTCCAGGTGTTCTCTCACCTGGCAAACTCCACCCTCTGGAATATCCCACAGTGATCCCGTGTCCTTTGCCCCTGGGATGGCTCAGGGGGCTACAGGGGTTTCTGGGGGTGTTCCCCACCCTGGTCTGCTCGTCCTGGGACAGGGGACAGGAGGAATTGTCACATGAGCCATGGGGAAGTGTGAGAGGAAGGAGAAGTGGTGTCACGAGGTGGGAGAAGCTCCTGACTGGGAACTGGGTCATTAATGAGCAAACGGGGCTGGGGTTGGGACAGGAAAGCAACTCAGGGATGAGGTGACACGGGGCTTTGGGGGGCCGTGGCAGGGTTGGGACATGCCTTGGCACAGCCCCTGGGAATGTTTGGGTGGCCAGCGTCCTGCTGGAACTGGGCTGATGGGGTTTTGGGGTGGTGGCACTGGGTTAATGATGGTTTAGGATGGTGGCACTGGGCTGGCAGGGTTTTGGGGTGGTGGCACTGGGCTGATCGGGTGTTGCTGGGTGTTGGTGCTGAATATTGATCAGGATTTCACCACTGCCCCTCCTCCGTGTTTGCTTCCTGCTGGCATCCACAGGATGTGGCATCACCCTTGTCCCTGCAGCCCCTGTCACCTCCTAATCCCCAAACTGGGAGGTTTCCCTAGCAAAAATCCTTCTCCAGAGTCTCAAAATCCTCTTTTTTGATTCAGAGAAGCCCAGGTAGGTCCCTGGAGTGTCCCTTGGGCTGTGATCTGTCACATGGGGTGCCCCCCAGGCTATGATTTGTCACCCAGAATGTCCTCTGTGCTGTGATTTGTCACCCAGGGCGTCCCCCTGGGATGTGATTTATCTCTTGGGATGTCCCCCAGGCTATGATCTGTCACTTGAGGTGTCCCCCAGGCTGTGAGCTGTCACCCAGAATGTCCCCCTGGGCTGTGATTTGTCACCCAGGTGACCCCTGGGATGTGATTTATCTCTTGGGATGTCCCCCAGGCTGTGATCTGTCACTTGAGGTGTCTCCCAGGCTGTGAGCTGTCATTTGGGGTGTCCCCCAGGCTATGATCTGTCACCCACAGTGTCACCTGGGCTCTGATCTGTCACTGAGTGTTGGCCCCTTGCTGGAATGGAATCCTGGAATCATTTAGGCTGGAAAAGCCCTCCAAGATCATCAAGCCCAACCCTTAACCCAGCACAGCCATGTCACCCCTAACCCACGTCCCCAAGTGCCACATCCCAGGGATGGCAACTCCACCAACACCTGGGCGGCCCCTTCCAATGCCAGATTGTCCTTTGAGTGAATAAATCCCCCCTGATGCCCACCCTGACCCTCTCCTGGCACAGCTTGGGGCCTTTCCCTCTCATCCCATCCCTCATTCCCTGGGAGCTGAGCCCGACCCCCACCTGACCCCCTCCTTGGCAGCCCCTGGGCTGCTGGAGCAGCATGCGGAGGATGCTGGAATGCATAATGGTGCTCAATAATTCATCTGTCACCCAGGAACAGCCACGTTTCTCCACATCCAGCCCCTGCTCCCAGCTCTCTCAGCTGCTGGAGGGAGCAGCTCCAGCGGAGGGGGGCAGGGGGGGCTTGTCTGGGATTCAAACATTCCTGCTCTGCCCCACAGTGCGGGTTCTCCCTTGGGAATTGGATGGTTTGGGAGGGGTGTGTGTCCAAAACAGCCTAAACCTCCTTGGGAAAACTGGGATGAATAATGGATGAGCTGCACCAGGGTGCACTGGTGTCGTGTCCTGCCTGTCCCCGTGTCCTGCCATGTCCCAACACCCCTTTGTGACCCCGCTTGGCGTCTCTGGAGCCTCTCCGGGTGATTTTAAAGCGCTGTGAAAGTTGGGGAGGGGCTGCCTAAGTGCAAAGTGCTGTTGGGCGGGAGGAGGAGGCGGCGGCAGCCCTGGCAGGGGGGGATTTATTATTTATCCCTCACAGATGTCCTTAACTTTTGTCACTTCGAGCCGGGCCCGGTGCTTGGAGCTGCTGATCCAAAGTGACAAGAATTCCAGCTCCTTCCCAAGCGCCTCTGAGAGGGACTAACAGGGATTTGACAGGAGTCCAGCTTTGTTCCCTTTCCAGCCCTGGCACTTCTGGGGGTGGGATGCAAAAACCTCTGGCTCAGGGATCCAAACTGCCCCAAATCGGGCTGTACCTCCTTCAGGTGCTCCTGGAACACACCTGGCTTCACATTCTGTGGGATTTTTCACTTCCCACACATCAAGGCACAACCTTGTGACCTTTTCCCGTGGACGCTGCAGCCTCCTGGGTGTCACAGTGGGATCTGTGGTGGACAAACCTCCCTGGAATCCCAGCAGGCACAAAACCGCTGGGGCAGGAGCTCACACCACAATCCGAGGGGTTTTTTTTTTTTTTTGGAGGCAAAACATCCTTGAGCAGGAGGATTTAGCAGGGAAGGAGTTTGTGGCTGTGCCGTTGCCGTGGGTGACTCAGAGGTGGCGGCGGGGCCAGGGCTGACAGATCCCTGGCCCGACCTGTTTTGGGATCCTCGTTCCGTGTTTGTCCCCCGCGTTTGCTCCCTGCCCACAGGGGCCTCCTTGTGCTGCGCTGACGGAGAGGAAAACATTTCAATACAATGGTTGGCACAGCTGCAGGAAAACAGCCCCGGCTTCCAACACCTCACTCGTGCCGGGATCGTGTGCCCGGCACTGCCAGGCGGGGCTGGGACACGGGGCAGCTCCTTCCTGACACTGGGACGTGGAGCAGCTCCTTCCTGACACTGGGACACGGAGCAGCTCCTTCCCTGACACTGGGACGTGGAGCAGCTCCTTCCTGACACTGGGACACGGGGCAGCTCCTTCCCTGACACTGGGACGTGGAGCAGCTCCTTCCCTGACACTGGGACACGGAGCAGCTCCTTCCCTGACACTGGGACACGGAGCAGCTCCTTCCCTGACACTGAGACATGGAGCAGCTCCTTCCTGACACTGGGACATGGAGCAGCTCCTTCCCTGACACTGGGACATGGAGCAGCTCCTTCCCTGACACTGGGACATGGAGCTGCTCCTTCCCTGCTCCTGGGACACGGAGCAGCTCCTTCCTGACGCTGAGACATGGAGCTGCTCCTTCCTGACACTGGGACATGGAGCAGCTCATTCCTGACACTGGGACACGGAGCAGCTCCTTCCCTGCTGCTCTGCCTGGCCCAGTTGGGCATCAGGCCCAGGGTTCTCTCCTGGCTGTGCAGGTTGGGATCTGTTCCAATGGAATGCCCAGCTCCCAAGGCCTTGCCTTCCCTGCAGAGGGAAGAGTGGCTCCGTGATATCAGGGAGTGCTCCCAAAACATCCTCAGATCCCTTTTCCTGTGTCCACGGTGTCTCCATGGGGTTTAGGGCCCCTTTTTCTTCTTCCACAACACTTTCATGGGGTTTGCAGCTCCTTTCTCTGCTGCCTTGGCATCTCCATGGGCTTTGGAGCCTCTTTTCCTACTGCCATGGCATTAAAGCTCATCCAGTCCCATCCCCTGCCAGAGCAGGGACACCTTCCACTATCCCAGGCTGCTCCCAGCTCGGTCCAGTCCAGCCTTGGACACTTCCAGGGATCCAGGGGCAGCCACAGCTTCTCTGTGTACCCTCTCAGGGAGGAATTTCTCCCTGGGATCTGATTTGCTCCTGGGATGATTTGCCATCAGAGGGGGAGAGGAGCAGGGGTGTGGCCAGGCCTGAGGGTCCCCTGGGTGTGTCCCCGCAGGTGACGCTGTGGCCGATGTCCCCGGAGCCGACCCCGGAGGATGAACAAGCCCACGGACCTGCAGCACGACCTGGAACGAAGCCTCCCAGCCATTGCTTCCATCAGCTCCTCCTTCTCCCAGAGCCAGGGCTTCTCCCCGTATTTCTTCTCCCCCGAGAAGAGAAAAGCCATCTCAGATGTGAGGAGGACCTTCTGCCTCTTCGTCACCTTCGACCTGCTCTTCATCTCCCTGTTGTGGATCATCGAGCTGAATGTGAGTTGGAGGAAGCAAACCCGGGGAATCTTTGCCCTTTTTAAGCTCAGTTCCCTCCGTTAATTGCTCTGTTCCAGCACTCCTGGGACAGATCTTTGTTTGCTGTTCCCAGCGCTGGCCAAGGAGCCGCTGTTCTTTAGTGTAAACTAAAGTCCAGCTCGTTTCCTGCCCCGGGGTTTTGTCGGGGCTGTCCAGGGTTGTTAACACCGTCCCTTTGTTGTGCTGTAACAAGATTCAGGGCCTCTGGAATCACCAAGCTGAGCCAAATTCCCCTCCTGCTCCCCTGGCCTGACGCTAAGCTGCTCCCTGGGTTTGCTGCTGCCGTGTTCTCAGAGCATCAGAGGAGCAGGGGAGGATCCTCCAGGGGCTTTGATCCCGAAATTCTGTGCTAATCTCAGCTTTGGGAAGCTGGAGGTGCTGCTCCACCTCCCAAGGGATTGTTGAGGGGGCTGTGAGTGGTTTGCTTCATTCCAAAGCGACTCACAAGCTGCTGTGTTTGCTCTGTGTTGCAATAACAGGGAAAATCCAGTTTATTTACCTCAGTCCCACGAAGTCCAAATCCCTCCCTGGGCTATATTTTGTTTTTATTTTCCCTGAACTGGCCCTGGCTGGTTTCAGGTACTCCATGTCCTCCCCTGGAGCAGAGATGAACAGATAGACCCTGGGCTCTGGCCTGCATTTATCAGCCCTGGATCCTGCTGCTCCCTCAGCAGCTCTTATCTCTGCCCTCCTTATCTCTGGGTGTCTGCACTTAACGGAGTGTCCAGGCCAGCAGCTCCTCACCCTGCCCAGAGCCCCCTGCTCCCCACCCCCCTTAGGAAAAAGCATCTCCCAGCCAGCATTCCAGCGATGCCGACACTGTCCTGGCCAAGCCCAGCTTGGACCCCGGCCCCCTGCCCTTGTCCCAATCCTGTCAGGGAGAGCTGCTGGAATTCCAGCCCCCAGGAGATAATCCTGGCTCGGTCACCAGGGTGATGCTGAGCGTGGGTCGTGCAGGTAGCCATTAATGAGTGACTAAGTGCTGATATTTGGGCCCCCGAGCTGAGATGCTGCATATTTAAAGCCATTAGAGCAGCTTATTTGCCTGGTTATGGAGAGCAACGGTTTGATTTCATGATTTCATGACTAATGCCTTTTTTCTTTTTTTTTTTTTTTTTTTTTTTTTTTTTTATCCAACCGTTTCCTTCCCTGTGAGATAAGCTGAGCAAATTGCCCCTCGTTAAAAGCAAACCATAATTGTGCAGGCTGGGTGCTCTCAGAGCCAGGGAGATGCCTCAGGTGGTTCATCTGCCTGGTGCACAGGCTGTGTTTAAGCTGAAAACATCCCCCAAACCACGACCCAAAGCTTTCCCTGTGTCTCATCCTTCCTGCAGCATCCCATGGAGTTGGGGTGTGGGGATGAAGCTCTCGGTGGCCACTGAGCAAAGCTGGCCCAAGTCCTGTGGCCACAGGTCAGCTGGAGGCACAGCCCAGCTCTACCCCCCTTTTTTTGCTCCTTTGTTGTATGTTAACCCCATCCCAGACTGGGAGGGATCCCTTCCCAATCCCAGTGGTTGCCTGTGCTGCTCTTGGAGTGCCAGGACACCCTTCTGCCACCACCTCATTCCTCATAGCCCATCCACCAGAAGCACCCCCCAAAAACCATCACCCAAAACTTTCCCTTGTGTCTCCTCCTTCCTGCAGCATCCCATGGAGCCAGGGAGAGGGGAAGAGGCTCTTGGTGGCCACTCAGCAAAGCTGGCCCGAGTCCTATGGCCACAGATCAGCTGGAGGCACAGCCCAGCTTCACCCCCCTCTTTTTGCCTCCCTCTCCCTGGATTTTAAGCCAGAGCCCTGACCCAGAGGGATCCTTTCCCAGTGGCTGCCCTTGGAGTGCCAGGACACCCTGGCTGCCAAGGACTGGCCCGAGATCCACCAGCCTGTTCCTCACAGCCCATCCAACAGCTGCTGGCTCCACCAGCTCCCAGCCAGCTGGGCCCCATCCAAAGCCATAGCCTAAAGGTGAAACATTTGTTCCAGTTACCTGAGCCCTCCACTTCCTCCCAGACAGCCATTCCAGGCTCTCAGAATTTATGGTGGCCAAAGGACCAGGGCTGTCAGACCCTGGATTATCTCGGGATGAGGTTTTTTTCCACACTCCTGTCAATCCCAGAGAGTGTTTTTGCCTCTCTCAGATTCCCTTGCAGCCCGCGGCTGTGCATCCCCCTCTCCTCCCTCTTCCCCTTTGCCAGCACGTTTGATCCTGCTGGTTCCCTTCTTCCATCACATTTCCTGGAGCACTGCTGTGAGCTGTGGGAAGCCAGATGGAGGGAGAAGGGACCCCTCAGTGCTCTGCAAGAGGAGGATCCTTAAATCCCCCCAGGTCCTCAGTGACACCAAGAGGCCCCACAGGAAGGTGTTCAGTGCATTAGTGAAGGTTCCTAAGGAACGTTTTTCTTGTGGTTTTCCATTTTTTCCACGTCTCCTCCCATTCCTCTGGAATCTGCCTCCTGGATGAGGTGGGCAGCAGTGGCAGGTGTCCATCCTGGGGCTCCAGGCTGTGAGGAACTGGTGGCTGTGCTGAGCCAAGGATTTGGGTGTTGGAAATCACCACTTAAAGGTGGTTAATGTCCCTCCTGCCTCACCCATGCTCCTGGGTGTGAATCCCAGGGGGAAATGTGATGTGAATCCAGGCAGGAAATGTGCCATGGGATCCTCCCAGGTCCTGTGGGACCTTTTGTATTCCAGGTACATTCCCTGACCTGGCCATAACCCCAGGCACTGCTCAGCTCCTTCTCCCATGAGTTTCTTATCAGTGCACTCAAAACTTCCTTCTTCCCTGTCTCCCTCAGACCAAGGTGGGCATCAAGGAGAACCTGAAGGATGAAATCATCAACTACAAATTCAAGACGTCGTTCTTTGATATCTTTGTGAGTATCTCAGTCTCCTGCAGGGCTCTGGAGCTCAGTGGGGCCGGGAGGGTCTGGGGTCTCCCGTTGTCCTCCTGGTGGAGCCTTGACCCATCTGTTTCCCGGGAGCTGGCAGCTGTCCCTGCCCTCCCAGCACCTGGCAGAGGGACAAGGGCAGTGACTGGTGTCGCTGGGTGTTTGTTGTTGCAGCTCTTGGCTCTGTTTCGTTTCGTTGTGCTGCTCTTGGGCTACGCCATCGTCCGCCTGCGCCACTGGTGGGTCATTGCGGTAAGGAGGCACTCCAGCCTTTCCTCTGGGGAGTTTCCCCTCTCCTCCTGGGCTTCTCGGGGATCTCTGAGCTCTGTCCACTTATTTTTCAGGTCACTACACTGGTATCCAGTGCCTTCCTGATTGTGAAGGTCATCCTCTCCGAGGTTGGTTTCCCTGGGCTCGCAGGAAGTTGCTTTGTGATTTCTCAGTGCTGTTTTATTCCCTGTTTGGGTCATTCTCTGTGGTCTCTGCTTCTTTCCACACAGCTTCTGACCAAAGGGGCTTTTGGGTATTTACTTCCCATTGTCTCATTTGTCATTGCTTGGCTGGAGACCTGGTTCCTGGATTTTAAAGTCCTAACTCAGGAAGCAGAAGAGGAACGATGTGAGTATTTTTGTTCCTCTCTGGTAGGAGTTGGACAAATCCAACCGTGCCTGGGTTTGCTGCTGCTCTGGCAGCACCTTGATCTGACATTTCTGGAAAAGGGATCTCCAGGCTGGCTGGGATGGGAAGTGCCTGACTCAGTTCTGTTATGGTCAACAAGTCTCTTCAGGGGAAGAAAATACCAGATTATAAAAAGCATCTTTTAATTGAGGGGAGAAAAATGTGCCAGATTTCCCAATGGCTGGATCCTGCAGCCAGACGTGCTGGAGACAGAGCTTAGCTCTGCATGAGAGAAAGTGTTTGGAAACAGGGAGGCAAATGCCAGGCAGAGTGTTGGACTCCCTGTTCCTGATATCTGTGTTTGGATCTGGCTGGAGCCCTTTTCCCAGGAGGGCTGCTGGAGTCACAGACACATTCTGTGGCACGGGGTGAGTTATGAGGTGTGAAATTCTGTGGCCTGTGGCCTCTGAGGTCACACTGACCAGGGATTGGGGCTGGCCTAATGCTTCACACATCACCCTGTAACTTCCAGGGTCCTTCTAGGGAGCTGATCTGGTTTGTCCCTCTCCCAGCAGTCACTGTCTGGGAAGTGGCACCAAAGTAAAAAGGGGCATTTGTCAGGCGGGGCTCAGTCAGAAATGCTCTGAGTTGAAAGCACCAGAGGATGTTTGGGTCTTGCAAGGCTTTAAGTTGAAAAATGATCAAGTGTTTAATGCCTCTATTGGATTAGGCTCAGGTTCCAAATTGCTTCCAGGGGAAGCTCTTATTTAATTAGATGCTTAATCGCCTTTGGATTATTTGACGGGCAGAAGAGCCCATTGATCTCCGGGGCAGATAAAACGTCTCAGACAAAAGATGAGGCACCAGGAGCTGAGGCTGGCTGGTGTCAGTGGGAAAAGACATGGGAAAACGTGGGAAAAACAAGAGGGTGTTCGAGCAGGGCTGAGGTCCCAGTACCTGGCAGGTGTTAAATTCTCCTGCTCCCATTCCCAGGGTTCCTGGCAGCCCAGGCTGCAGCCTCGAGGCCACTGCTGTACCCCCGAGCCCTCTCCGAGGGACAGTTCTATTCCCCACCCGAGTCCTTTGCAGGTAAGGTCACCTGTGCTGTCACCTCACTGCCCGTGCTCATCCCACCATGGAATTCCTCACCACCATCATCCCTTCCCTGAGCTCTGCCTCGTTATCCCAACCCTTGGCAGAGCCTCCAAGAATTGACACTGCAAAGCTCTCCCCTCTCTGTGCCTGCACCTGGGCAGGGGTGGCACTGCCACACTCTCCACGTGACGCCTTTTTACCAGAGCCACCCTCATCCCTGCGAGCCTGGCTGCAGCTCTGCAGGGAACTGGAGCCTTGTGTGGGCTTGGGATTAAATGCTCTGAGCTGTGTGCTTGGAAAATGCTGCCCTGGGGTGAGGGCACGGGGGTGGGTGGTCACAGGCAGTGAGGATAAGGGCTGGTGGCACGTCAGTGCCCTGTGCCAGCTCTGGAGAGCTCCTGGCGTGGGAGTGGGGACATCTCAGCTGGATTGTCCTGGTGTTGCTGAAACCCAGGCTGAGCTCAACCCTCTGGAGCTTTTGTCCTGGTGTAGCTGAAACCCGGGATGAGCCCAGCTCTGCAGAGCAGTTGTCCCAGTGTGGCTGACACCCAGGACAAGCCCAGCCCCCTGAAACACTTTTCCTGGTGTAGCTGACACCCAGGACAAGCCCAGCCCTCTGGAACACTTTGTCCACTGTAGCTGCCACCCACGCTGAGCCCAGCTCTCTGGAGCAGTTGTCCCAGTGTAACTGGCACAGGGATGAGCTCAGCCCTCTGGAATAGTTGTCCCAGTGTAGCTGACACCCAGGATGAGCCCAGTTCTCCAGAGCAGTTTTTCCAGTGTAGCTGACACCTGGGATGAGCTCAGCCCTTTGGAACACTGTTCCTGGTACAGCTGACACCCAGGATGAGCTCAGCCCTCTGGAGAGCCAAGCAGGTGTTCAGGGAGACAGGGCCAGAGTCATCCTCACTGACAGCCCTTCCTGTTGGATAAGGGACAGGGATCAGACACTGTCCTCCCACGAGAAGGGAGGGAGGTGGTACCAGTGGAGTGTTCATTAACTGTGAGTTAATTGATGCTTCCCCGTAGGCTCAGACAACGAATCTGATGAGGAAGGTGTGGGGAGGAAGGCCTTGACATCTCAGGTAAACAGGGGCTGGCCCTGCCCTCAGCTCCAGGCTGATCTGGGGCTGTGGGAGTCTCCCCAGTCCTGTGGTCCCATTAGGTTCTGCTGCCCCCCATTGCAGACCCCTCAGCTCTGGGGACGTGTGGCTGAGCCCTCTCTGTGCCACGGGACTGGTGGCATCGTAGCCACTGCAGGAGGAGTCATCTGAGCCCCCCAGCTTTGTCCCATTCCCCAGAGCTGTGTGCTCTTCCCTGCAGCATCCCACAGGGGTGTGTTCTGGCTCTGCTCCTGCCTGTCCCTCTCGCTTCCCCCTTCCATCCCTGGTCACATTTGGTCACATTCTGGGCATCACCTCACCTGTTCCTGTGGTTTGAGGGCTTGACCTCCCCAAAACCTGGCTGGGCACAGCCTTTATGCCATTTTCCAAGAGATCCTGCTCCTGTTCAGCCCCAGTTCTGGCTCCTCCAGGAAGGAAGCTGCACATCCCAGAGCCCTTTGCCTGCTGGAAACCCTCCTGCTAAGGCGGGAGCCGCCGGGAGCAGCTGGTGTGTGGATCCAAGCCAGGGCGGGGAGCGTGACTTGGAGCTCCAAAACGAGGCCTCTGTGACCCAAATTAAGAGATTTCTGATCCCCTTTCCCTCTGCCAGCCCTGGGAGGGGGGGAGCAGCCTCACACACACTCCTCGAGCTTCCTGCACGCCCAGCTAATGAAATCCTCTCTTCTTTCCCAGGAAAAGGAGTATGTCCGACAAGGCAAAGAGGCCATGGAGGTTGTGGACCAAATCCTCGCCCAGGAGGAGAACTGGAAGTTTGAGAAAAACAATGCAAGTGTGGTTTTTCCTCCCCAGCTGGCAGAGGGCATGGATGGCTTAGCAAAAACCGGGACAAACGAGGCTTTGGAAACCTCCTTGCGCCATGAAAAATTAACAAGCGTTACAATTACCTGATTGAATTAGGAATCTATTCCAGTTCAGTTAAATGTAAAATCCCCTCTTATTTAATTAGACGTTTAATTGCCTTGCAGTTTGACAGGAGAGGGCCCTTCCCTCCTCCCTCTGTCCGGAGGCTGGGCAGGGGCAGCCAGTTCACCTTTGGGATGCAGAGCCATGGGAAGGAGCAGGGGAATGCTGATCCCACAGCTCCAGCCCTGCTCTTGCTCCATGGCCAGGTGCCTTTGAGCCTGCTGGGAGCCCAAACTGGGGTCTTGGCCCATGTGGGGCACTAACTGCTCTTCCCACCCTCAAAGTCACTGGTGTCCCCCTTCCCCAGCACCTGGAACCTGGGTGGGGTGCTGGGGTGTAAATTTGGGATGTGGCTCTGCCTACTCCAGACTTTTCTGGGGTGCAAAGAGCTCTTCTCTCTCTCAGAAGAGTGGAGAGAAAGAGAAGGGGTTTGCCCCCCAAGCCCAACCTTGTTTCACAAGGTTGAAGCACGACTGGGGGGTGCGAATCCTGCAAACTGCTGTCTCATCTGGTGTTTCAAATTCCCCTGTCAAGTGATCCTTTGTCTGATGCCAAACTAGCTGGGCAGATTGTTTTCTTTTTCCAAAGGGGGATGGATTTAAATAGACTAATCAGAGTTTAACACAGGGCTAACGATGAAAGGTTTTCATCTGCCCATCCCTGGCCCCTCCAGGGAGGCTCCTCTCAGCCGTAGGTAACACCAGCAGCGCTGGCAGCGAACCCCCTTCGCACCCCGGTGCTGCTACAAAGAGAATGTGACCTTGACGTGGGGTTTGCAGCCTGGCACGGGCTGGATTCTTTTTCTGTCTCATCCCTGCTGCCTCTCTGGATATTGTTTTGTTGATGGAAATTTAGGCATGGCCAACTGAAATGTGCTCGGGGCGGTTTCTGTGCTGAGGTCGCAGCCTGGTGTGGGGGGCAGGGGGTGATGAGGGGCTGCAGGGGGTGACAGGAGCCTCAGAGTTTTAGCAAACTTCAGCCTAAATAGAAACAATCCCTTTTTGCTGATAAAAAACACAACTCTCTCATCTCTTGCACAGGACTTTGGTGATGTTGTTTACACTTTTGAAATCCCGTTCCACGGCAAGACCTTTATTTTAAAGGTAAGAACATCCTTGGGCCGATGCCTTGGTCTCTTTGGCACGGGGAAAGAACCAAGGCTCAGCTTTCAGGACAGGTCAGGCTGCAGAACACCCTCCCTGTGCTTGAGACAGACGAACAGCACTAGGGAATCTCTCCAGGAAAACCCCTTGGCCAGCAGACAAACTCCCCAGTAAACATCCAAGGCTCCAGACTCCGCTGGTAGAGTCGGGAGCAGGTGACTGCAAGACTCGCTTCCAACCCCAGCATCTCGGACTAATCTGACCAAGGAGGCTAATTGGAACTAATTGCCAGCAAGGCCAGGGCTGAGTGTGCGTCTGCTGCTGCCTGGCACGGGGCAGAGCTGCTCGGAAGTGCCTTGCTCTGTGCCCTCTCCCAAGCTGGAGTGGCTTGGCTGGGAACCACGCTTTAATGAAGCGTCGGTGCTGCCGTGGCTTTTCTTTGTTCCAGTGCATATGTTGCCTCGCTGGCAGGAGCTGCCAGTGGAGCAGCTCTGTGTTCACCAGCAAAAGCTGGATGGTCCCACTTTACTGCATTAACTGTTTGCCTCCGAAGATCCCCGCTCCCGTGGGGACTGGGGGGGGGAATGGAATGGATGCTGTGTGTGCTGGAGCTTGGAATGGCTTGGGGGGAAAAAATCGAAACAGTCAAAAATGCAACTTCCCCAAGCAATGGTGCATGGGGAACTGCTGAGGGTGGGAAAGGGGCAGACAGGCAGGCAGAGCTCAGTGACTCCCAAATCCTGAGGTCTGTGTGTGTGCTCCCTGACCCCATGTGTGCCCTGGGAGCACTGGGACAGAGGGGTGACAGCCGTGGCTTTGCATGCAGGGGGACCAGGCCAGCCTTACCCCTCCCCTCCCCTGTGATCCCACTTGTCCTTTGTGTTGTGCCCTGTTTTCCTTAAAAATAATCTCCCCCAAGGGGAGCAGAGGGGCTGGCTGACTGCTCTGGCTCTGTCCTCAGGCTTTCCTGCAGTGCTCTCCTGAAATGGTTTACCAGGAGGTGATTCTGCAGCCCGAGAAGATGATCCTGTGGAACAGAACAGTGGCAGCTTGCCAGGTGAGCGTGCCGGACAAAGATGGCTTAATCACAGGAGCTCCTTGGAGCGGAGAGCTGCAGCTTCCCTGTCCAACACAGGCTGCTGGCAGTGCCGGGGCCGAGCTGGATCCCAGTCACCGAGGCGTTAAATCTCCGCCGCTCATCCGTGCGCTCCGCGCGCTCCGCGGCAGCCGGCTGCACGCCTGTGCCCGGCCAAGAGCCCGAGAGGTGGGCAGGGACAGGGGCCAGGCCTGAGCCAAACCTGCCTCTGCCTGGTGGGAGGGTCTGGACCTCCCGGAGGGGAGCTGGAGGTGACACCTGTGCCCTCCAGAAAGTCAGGAGACGAGCCCGTGCACGCACCGCTCATCTCCCTCTGCCCCAAAAGACCCCCTGGTCTGATCCCGGTGCTGATTTGGGGGAGAGGCTGTATCCTCTTGGCACGTGCAGGCTTGGAGGTGCAATCTGAGCAAATCTCCCTTCTTTTTATTGATTGCCCTGCCCTTCCCCAGATCTTGCAGCGGGTTGAGGACAACACAATCGTGTCGTACGACGTGGCGGCCGGAGCTGCCGGCGGGGTGGTGTCCCCAAGGTCAGTTCATCCCATGAACATCCCCCAAACCACAGGAAGACCCCCATGGGGCACTGGGACTGCTCTGGGCTGCTGGGACTTCTGGTAGGGCTGGTTGGCTCTGCAGTAACACTCCCAAGGGCGAGCAGCCCCGAAAATTTCCTCCAGACACTCCTGGCAGAATTCTCAGAGCTCCAAACCTCGGTCAGTCGGGCTCCCGGATCTCAGTGCTTGGCTGTGCTTTGTCCCTGTGTTGACACAGCCCTGCCACAGCCTCTCCCAGCAGTCCAGAGAGCGGGCTCTGCCCCCTCCACATCCCAGGTGTGTTTTTAAGCCCTTTCTTTGCACAGGGATTTCGTGAACGTGCGTCGGATCGAGAGGAGGAGAGACAGGTACGTTTCCTCAGGGATGTCGACCACGCACAGCCTGAAGCCTCCGCTCTCCAAGTATGTCAGGTGAGAGGCAGGTGCTGTTTTTTCAGCTGGGATCATGCACTTCTGCAGAGCTTCAAGGCAAAGAGCCACTTAACTGCAAGCCCTGCTGCCTTCCTGGCAGGATTTGCAGGAAGCTGAGCTATTTGTGGAGCTGAACCTCGCTTCCCTTGTTCGTCTCCCTTTGTTCAAGAAACTCTCGGTGCTGTCAGCGGTGCTGGGGCGTTTCCCAGCTCGGGGGAGTGGAGGTGCTGACCAGTAACAGCACGAGCCCCATCCCAGTCCCACATCCTGTTTATGTAACAGTTAATTCCCAAACAGGAATTTCTGAGGGGCAGTAAACAGCTGGCTGTGGCTCCGAGCCTCTCACATGCCTTTGTGCTCCTCGTAAACTGCTCACTCACCAAATTTGAGGCACCGAGGGGTGAAACGAGGATGGAGCAGCTCCCAAAATCTCAGCAGGGCTTTGGCCTCTCCCCTTCTGAAGGGACAGGCTGGTGATGGATCCCGGCGGGGTCGGGCTCATCAGACAAGGACTCCTTGTTCCTGCCGGGGCCCAGCTGTGCCGCCGCGCGCTCCGATTTTGGTTTTCTCAATAATCCGGTTAAAGTAATTGACATTTTATCTCAGAGCTGTTGGAGCTGCCTCAGTCTATTTAGGAACTGGGGACTTCAGGGCCTGGAAAAATCCTGTAACGAAGGCACACAGCAAAAATAGCGTGTTCTGAAGAGGGAAGGGAAATCTGTATTTGGGCTGTGTGTGCACAGCTCCCGTCTCAGAGACAGATCAGATGGTGCTGGGAAGGATCTGGGGGCTGGAGTGACAAGTGCTGAGCCTGTCCTGAGCACACAGAGTTTCCTGGGGCCTCTTGTTTGCACCCAGGGTTGTTCCTGGGAAAGCTTCCCGTGGGGAGCAGCTGGCACAATCCAGAGGCAGAGCTGCTGCTCCACCGGCAGCCCTGGCGCTGGTGCTGCCAAGGCACCTGTGGGAAAGCTGCCCTGCCGTGCTGTCTGATGTACCTGGAGCCAAGGCACACACCTTCCCAGGCTCCCAGCATCTGCTCCTGCACCACTGGGCCCTGGCCTTCACTGCCAGGCTCAGCTCTGTGCAGTGCATCCCAGAGAATCCCAGCCAGAATTCCAGCCTGGCTCTGCCTCACCCTCTTGGCTTCCCTCCACAGGGGTGAGAATGGACCTGGAGGATTCATCGTCCTGAAATGTCCCAGCAATGCCAAGGTCTGCACCTTCATCTGGATTCTCAACACGGATCTGAAGGTAAAGGCAGCTCCTGGGTGAGGTGGCTGTGCCCCATCCCCAGCACAGCTCTCCCCTCTCCCCGGGGACCCAGCAGCCCAAAGTCCTGCTCCAGGATCCCAGCAGCCATGGAAGTGCCCCCTTAGCAAGCCCTGAGGGACTCGGGTTTGGCAAGTGGGGGTTAAACTACTCCAAAATCCCCCTCCTTTCCCAGGGAGAGTTTGGGAAGCTCTTCCTTACCTGGAAGCTCTTCCTTATTTAAGATCTCACTTAGGGGTTTCACCTCTGAGTGCAGGTAGGAGGTTTTTATCCTCTTTGGTGACCAAAACCAGTTTGAGGCATGGCAAGTTTTGTGCCACGGGAGCACTCCAGAGGAGCAAACCCTGCTCCCAAACCCCTTGGCACGACCACAACCACCCAAAATCCACCCCCGGGAGAGCGAGCTGCCCCGGGTCCGGAGTTATTTGTGGAGCCGCGTGTCCTTGCCGCTGTCCCGGACAAAAGGCAGCGCACGGAGGGACCGGGATGGGGCGGATGCGGGAGCGGGAGCGGAGTTGGCCCCGTTCCTTCCTCCGCGGAAGGTTGACGTGGTAACGGCGCTGCCGCAGCAGCACAAAGGCTCCATTCATCCCTCGGCTGTGCTGCAGCGCTGCTGCGGCCCCCTCCTCTCTCCTCCCCTCCCCTCCCACGGCCCCCTCCCCTCCCCCAGAGCCCAGCGGCTCCTGCCTGTCTTGCCAAACGCTTCGGGAAAGCTTTGGGGAAGCGCCGAGAACAGGCAGGAGCAGAGCGTGCCCTTCCCACCCCGTTGTGCCAGGGATGTGTTTTCCTGCCGTGGATCTGGCGCCCATCACGGGCAGGTTTTTTTTTAGGGGGGTAACAAACCCACCCCCCTCCCCCAAAAGTGGTGGGGCTCGGAAAGAAAAGAAATTCCTTGTGCTTCCCGGGCCGAGCGCTCCCAGCGCCGCCTCTGCCGTGGAAGGAATGCCGAGCTATTAATAAGCTATTAATAACCCCCAAGTGCTCCCAGCGCCTTCCCCAGGGGCTCTGCCAGCGCCCAGAGCCCTCCACAGCTCCTCGCTCTTCCCTTTGGCCCTGCACGAGTATTTATAGCCCATGGCTCATCCCTTCCTGCTCCTTGGGGGAGGGAGGATTCCGCACGTGTGTGTGTGTTTGGGTCCGGAGCTCCTGTCGGGAGCAGCGGCCTCGCACTTTTCCTGCCCCCTGTGCCCGAGGGAAAACCTGCTCCAGGAAAAGATCTGTGCTGGACCACCCCAATCCCGGGGGAGGGGAGTGTCCTGTGCCTGCCTGACCCTCGGGATAGTTGTCCACTCCTCCCTCCGTGCCCCTGGAGCAGTTCCCAGCCCTGCCTCAGCTCCCTCCTCCCCAGAGACAAGGATTTATTATTTTTTTCATGGATCTCCCACCACGGAGCTGAGGCCGAGGCGTTGGGGGCGGGGGTGAGTCGTGCAGGGCTTTTTTAGAGAAATCCAACCACGTTGCAGTTCCTCCCCCGGATCGGAGCTCCCTGAGAGCCGCAGCTCCGCACAGCGGTGCTCCTGCATCCCTGGATCCCTCTGGGGTGGGGTGGGATGGGATGGGATGATGGGATGTTCAGTCCCCAGCCCTCACTTCTGTCCCTGGAGCACTCCAGGGCAGGTTGGGTGTAGCTCCCAGCCCCAAATCCTCATGTGCCCTGGAACACCCTGGAGTGGGATGGGACCAACCCCCAGCCCTCGTTCATGGCTTTGTGTCCCTGGAACCTTCCAGAATGGGATGGGGGCAGCCCCAGACCCTCACTGATATCCCTGGAACTCTCCAGAATGGGATGGGGGCAGCCCCCAGCCCCAAACCCTCACTGATATCCCTGGAACTCTCCAGAGTGGGATGGGGGCAGCCTGGTTAATGGGCCTGTATCCCTGTCCTTGGAGGATCCCGGGGTGGGATGGGGGCAGCCCCCAGTCGTCCCTCACAGCCCCGTGTCCCTGTCCTGTGTCTGCAGGGTCGCCTGCCCCGGTACCTGATCCACCAGAGCCTGGCTGCCACCATGTTCGAGTTCGCCTTCCACCTGCGCCAGCGCGTGGCCGAGCTCTGCTCCAAGCCCTGAGGACATTCCAGTGCCCTCTCTGCTCTGTGGGGACAGGGACAGGACCCTGCACCCCACCAGGGAGGGGTCCCCCCATTACCAGGGGGGCTCAGCCCTTCCTCCCACCACGGCTGCCCCCAATCGGGGCCCTGGACCCGACTGTTCCGTGCCAAATCCCTGCCCTGCCCCCCTAGAGGGCTGGAATGGCCTCTCCTCCCCACAGACAGGTTGGGGGCTCAGCTGGCACCCCCAGATTCCTGTCACTGCACCCCAGTTCCGTGAGGGAGAGGGGACAGAGGTGGTGGCCACGTCGGTGAGGACTCAGCCCTGTGCTGGGCTCTGCCCCTCCACCAGTGAGTGAAGGCACAGTTTGTGTCCCCCCACACCCACCATAACCCCGGGGCTGTGCCCCCCACATTGGGGACAGCACTGGGGACCCCCCCAAACCTCCCCTTGGCGCTGGCCAAGCCCCCTCCTTCCCAAACCTGCAGCTCCTGGCGGAGCCAGCGCGGGATTTGCCTTAAGCAGAGACTTTGATCCTTTTTGGGGGTGCGGGGCGGGGGGGGGGGGTTGGGGGTGGGGGTGCGGGGGCGACTGCGTTTCTCTACCTGTGAGCGCCGTGTGCTGCTCTAAAAACAGCAGCGGCAGCAGCGCGGGGCCGCCCGCACACGGGGGCTGCGCTGAGGGAGGGGGGCACCCACAGCCCCCCCCCAACCCCCCGGGCTCTCTGCACCCCCCGGGGGTCTGGGGGGATCCGGGGGGGGGGTCCTGGGGGCCCCCAATCTGTGAGGGCTGAATTAAAGCCTTGCACTGTTTGCAGCTCCGTGTCACCCGTGTGCTCTTTGTCACCCAGTGAATCAAAGGGGTGCAGATGTGGGGCTGGGGTCACCCTGAAGTCCCCCCCCCGGCAGGAAAGGGTGGGGTCTGCAGGCTCCTTGGGCTACTGGCCGTGGGTGGCCCTGGCCGTGGGTGGCACTGTCCCCCACCCCGTGGTGGCACCGGCAGCTCCATCGACCTGGAGCATTTCTGAGCTGTCCCCAGTGCCCCTCCAACCCTGGGTTCATCCCCGGGGTGGGACCCCCACTCCTGGGGGCAGCTGGGGGGGCTGGAGCCCCTCGTCCTCTCTGTCACCAGCCACATCCACGTGAGCCCTGGCTCACTGGCACCCAACTGTTGGCCCTACAAACAGCTCATTTGGGGGTCCCTACAGCCCCAAACCCCTGTCCTGGGGAGTGGACACACACTGGGAGGGACCCCAGTGCCCCTCTGGGGTCGCTGTGGGTGGCACCGGGATGGCACAGAGGTGGCACGTGGCACCCCAGGGCTGTGGGGGGCACAGGCAAAGGCCAGACGTGCCCTGGGCAGGTGCCAGGGCGGGTCCCTCCGGTGCCATCACGTTGCTGGCAGGGTCTGCCCCGCGTCCCCATGGCGGGGAGGGGGGGGGGATACACCCGTGGGTGCCACACACGTGTCCGAGGTGCCACCGCCCCCGCTCGCCCCCCCTTGGCAGCGCCCGGTGCCAGCGGCGCGTCCCAAAATAGCCCCAGCGGGGCCATAAAAGCGGAGCGGGCACGGAGAGGGGGGGAAAGCGACACCATGGTGGGTCCTGGCGTGGTGGGGGGCTCCAAGGGGCTCCTGTCGGCCCGTCTGGGCTGCCGAGTCCAAGAGGAAGATGTGGGGCGGAAAGAGACGTTCAGTGCTGAGTGGCTGGACCTGGAGCTCAAGTCCCGGCCCGAGGATGGGTGAGGGGCGCGGCCAGAGGGGTGCCAGGGGTGCCAGGGGCGCTGGGGACACGGGGGGCACTGGGTGCTGGAGGACTGGGGGATTTTGTGGGAGATTGGGGTTGTGGGAGGGCTCCGAGGGTTCTGAAATGTGAGGTTTCCACGGGGTTGTGGAGGGCTCCAAGTGTCTCAAATTGTGGGATCTCCGTAGGGTTTTGGGGGGCTCCAAGGGTCCCAAAATATGGGGTTCCCATGGTTTTGTGGGGTGGTTCCAAGGGTTCCAAAATTGGGGGTTTCCATGGGGGTCTGGGGCTGTGGGAGACTCCAAGGGTGCCAATGGGGTTTGGGGCAGCCCAAGGGTCCCAAACTTGGGTGTTTCTATGGGGTCTTTGGGATATGAGTGGGCTCCAAGTGTCCCAAATTATGAGGTTTCCAGAGGGTTTGGGGGCTTTTGGGGTTTCTTCGGGTCCCCGTGGGGTCAGGGAAGTGGTGGTAGGGTGTCCAGGAAGGTATGTGGTGTTCCTTTGAGGAAATTGGGGTTTTGATGGGGCTGAGGAAAGCCGGGATTCCACAGGGCAGGGTCTCCAGAGGTTCCCATGGGGTGGTCCCCGTGGGGCTGAGCCGGTCCATGGGACATGGGAGGGGGTCTCCCATGCAGTGGGACGGGACATGGGGGGGTCTGCAGGGGTCCTGGCGGGGTGGGGTGACCCCAAAGGGTCAGAGCAGGCCATGGGGGTGTCGCTCGCACCCCCACGAGTGCCCCGTGCCCAGGTGGTGCCGGCGGGAGGTGGACACGCAGCGCCGGGAGACGCTGGAGCAGCGCGGGGCCGTGCGGGTCTTGGAGCAGCGCTCACCCTGGGGGCTGCTGCGAGTGGGGGTCTTGGGGCAGCCCCTGACCCAGCACCTCCTGCCCTACGCCCGAACCTTCCCCGTGCCCCTCTTCACCCCCTCAGACCTCCGCGGAGCCAAGGGGGGCATCCCCCGCAGCCTCTCCCGCTCCCTCTCCCACGAGGCCCAGCGGGGCTGAGCGTGGCAGAGGGGCCGGGGGAGGTCGGGGGGATAGGGGGGTCAGGGGGTGATGTTGGGGGGCTGGGGGGACCCACACGCCTGGGTCTGCTCAGCCACCTTGAAGAGGCAGCACAGGAAGGCGGGGGCAGGTGGGGGTGGGCTCCCATTCAGCTGGGACCCCACCCCGCTGCGGGCGTGGTGGAGGCCGGTGGGGATGAGGACCCCGCGGGTCGGGGGGCTCCCGCCCTTCGGGGGGCTCCCGGCAGCTCCGGCGTGCCTCAGTTTCCCTGGCGAAAAGAAGGGAATGCGAGGATGAGGAACGCTGAAACCCTGGGGGAGCTGGAGGGGGGTTGGGGGGCTGCGGTGGGGTTGTACAGACCATGGTCTTTGTACGGCAATAAAACGCCTACCTTGGCACGGCAGTGGCTTTTTTTGGGGGGTACAAGGGTGGGAGGCGAGATTTAGGGGGAGAGGGACCGTTTGTGGGATGGGGAAAGGGAGGAACGGGGGAAACTGAGGCACAGCAGCTGGAGGGACCCGGTGTCTTCTGGGACTGGGGGGGGGTCTGGGGGAGGGGGCCTGTGATTATATAACCCCCCCCGCATCGCCCACCCGGTGCCAGGATCCGCAGTGCCCAGATTAGCTGTTCCCACTCTGGATCCCGCTGTCCCTGGGCCCCCGCCAGGCCCTGTCCCCTCCCTGTGCCCGGCCCCATCCCCGTCCTTCCTCCCAGGAGCCGCCTGTCCCTCACCTTCACCCCCCTACAGCTCCGGCACAGGCGGGGTTTGGGTTCTTTTAACACCCCCAAGACCCATAAGTGGGTCCCACCCTGCTCCTTATCCCGAGGTGCTGGGGGCACTGGGAGCACTGGGAGCACTGGGAGATGGCAGAGGTGGTGCCGGCTCCTGCCAGAGCTGGGCTGAGGTCCAGCACACTCAGCTCACCAGTGATGGGGAGTTTAGATGGGCCCCATCCCAATCCCGTCCCATCCCCATCCCAAACCCCACATCATTCCAATGCCTTTCCATCTCAATCCCTCCACATTTCCGTCCCCATCCCATTCCAATCCTTTCCCACCCCCATCCACATCATTCCAGTCCTTTCCCATCCCGTTTTTGCCCCTCTCCCAAACCATCCCTATCCCACTCCCTCTCCACCCTCACCCCACGGGACACTCATGAGCAGGGCTGGGGCAGCACAGAGGGGTCACAGCCACATCTCGGGGTGAGGAGAACAAAACCTCCCGGGCACAGGGACAGGATTCCTGGATCCCCATATCCCAGGAAGGGCGGCGGAGCCGTTATCAGCTCCGGGATGGATCCGGCCGCGGCCCCGGGGCGCTGGCGCTAACCGGGTTAGGTGGGATGGATGATGGATGGAGGGATGCGGGCTGGATGGATGGGGCTGTCGCGGCTCCCCGCGGCCCCCCCGGGGCCGGGCAGGGATAAAAAGGCTGCGGCGGGGCCGGAGCCGCAGCCCCTCGCCATGAACAGCCCGGCCGAGCTCCGCGAGGGCTACGAGCACTTCGACCCCCGCGCGTACCTGCGCAACAATTACCTCCCGCCCCGCGCCGACTTCTCCTCCGAGGAGTTCGTGGTGCCCTGGAAGCTGCGATGCCTGGCCGAGACTTTCGCCAGTGGTGAGGGGAAGGCGGCGAGGACCCCCCCCCCAAGCCTCGCGGTGGGGTGGGGAAACTGAGGCACAGAGCACCCGCGGCACCCGGGGACAGCTCCTCTGGTCTTTTCTGGTTTTCCCGGCTCCCCTCATCGGTGTGGGGATCCCCCCAACATGTCCTGTCCCCTTCCCAGGTGAGATCCGGGGGCGGACGTTGATCGATGTGGGCTCGGGCCCCACCATCTACCAACTGCTGAGCGCCTGCGACCACTTCGAGGAGATCGTGGCCACCGATTACCTGGCGGTGAACCGGGAGGAGCTGGGCCGGTGGGCGCGGGGCGAGCCCGGAGCCTTCGACTGGAGCCCCTTCATCCAGCACGTCTGCAAGATCGAGGGGCGCGGGTAGGGGGGCGCAGGGGGGATATGGGGGGGCTGTGGGACCCCAGGAGGAAGGTGGTGCTGGGGTGGTCCCTGCTGGATTATGTCCCCAAAATCCACGGGATCAGAGATCCAGGTTCTCACAGATCCTGGGCTGATCCCTGTAAAATGATGTCCCCGAATCCCATGGGATCGCAGCCACATTTTCCTAAAGATGCTGAGGTGATCCCTACAGAATCATGTCACCAAAATCCCATGGCATCACGGCCCCACATCCTTACAGGCACTGTTCCTAAATCCCACGGGTTCACCTGCAGATGCTGGGTTGACCCCTACAGGATCCAAGCCTCACATATCCGTGGAATGCTGTCCCTAGCCCTGTGGATGGAGGGCTGATCCCCATAGGAACCTGTCCGAATGTCCTTGTGGATGCCCCGTTGATCCTGTTCCCATGTCCCTGTGGCTCTTGGGTCAATCCTTCCTGGATCCCATCCCCACATCCCTATAGCCCTGCAGCTACTGGTTTGATCCCCAGGAGATTCTATCCTTTTGTCCCTGTGGATGTTGGGTTTGCCCCTGTGCAATCCTATTCCTGGGTCCGTATAGGTTCTGGAATCAGCATCCCACCCCACATCCCTGCAGGATCCTGTCCTCATATCCCTGTGTGTGCTGGATTGATCCCATCCTCACACACCTGTGTGTCCCAGGTCAATGCCCACCCAATCCCTATTTCCCTGCACAATCCCACCCCCTATCCCTGTAGAATTCCATCCTCACCCCCCTTTGTGTGCTGGGTTGATCCCATCCCCACACCCTTCCAT